AGACACTGGGTGGGACTTGCTAAGAGACATATTTAACAGTGTAAGGTTTCATTAAAAATCATGGCCTTAGAGGCCATCTCAAAGCCCATTGAAGCCAACCTGGAGGATGTATTGTTGAGGAGAAGCTGGTATAGAGATGGCTTCTGAGATCTCTTCCAACTTGGAGAGGTCTTAAGTTGAAGACCCCATTAGCTTTTTTTTTTTGAACTGCCATTTAACAATATTGATTTGTATTTGTATCTCCAGCACTTGGTACAGTGCCTGGCACATAGTAGGTGCTTAATAAATGGTTATTGACCGGCTGTTGATGCATGTTGAGCTTGTGGTCCTCTAAAAACTTCAGATCTTTTTCAGATGGCCTCTAGTGACACCTCTGCACCTCATATTTGTGAAATTGATTTTTGCAACCCAAGTATAGGTTGTCACATTTGTCCTCATTATGTTAACTCATAATTTTTTTATAAATATTTTATCTTTCCTAATTACATGTAAAAACCAATTTTTAACATTTAAAAAAATTTTGAGTTCCAAATTCTCTCCCTCTTGCCCTCCCCCCCACATTGAAAAGGCAAACAATTTGATAAAGGTTATACATGTGCAGTCATGCAAAACATATTGCCATATTAGTCATATCTCATTAAGTTTACCCCAGCATTTTTGTCTGTTGATATCTCTTTGTTAGCTATCCCTTCTGCTCTATGTTATCTGCAAATCTGCTAAGTATGACTTTCATAGCTTCATCCAAATCTTCTGTAAATTGTTACTCAGCACAATGCCAAGGACGTCTGCCTTTGGAAACTCCAACAGACTCCTGTCTCCTTCTCGATAAAGGGCCATTAATGAGTAACTACTCGTGACTCTACTAAGTCTTCCCCTCTCCCAGGCTAAACATTCAGGTTAGGGCTGGCATCCTATTTAGGGTTAGAGTTGGGGTCAGGATGAGTATCGAGGTCAGGGTCTACATGGGGACTGAGTTAGGTTTCATGAAGAACTTGGGTCTTGGGTTAGAGATGTGGTCAGAGTTAGATGGAGGTTGGGATTAGAGATTGGATCAGAATTCAGGCTATGGTTGGCACTGAGATTAAAGCTGGTTTATTTTTTTTTTAATTTTTTTTGTTGTTGCTTTATGGTGAGGCGATCAGGGTTAAGTGACTTGCCCAGGGTCACACAGCTAGTAAGTGTTAAATGTCTGAGGCTGGATTTGAACTCAGGTCCTCCTGACTCCAAGGTCAGAGCTCTATTCACTGTGCCACCTAGCTGCGCCTTAGAGCTGGTTTAAATTTGGGTCCATGGTGGGTGCAAGGTCAGGGTTGGAGTTTGAGGGCAGGACTTGCAGGCCACATATCGCAAGACAGAGAGCCAATAATCCGCCGACTGATGCAGGTGGCATACAAAATTTTTTAAATAGGAGCAACTAGGTGTCACAGTGGATAGAGTTCTGGCCTTGGAGTCAGAAGAACCTGAATTCAAATCCAGCCTCAGACACTTGACACTTGCTAGCTGTGTGACCCTGGGCAAGTCACTTAACCCCAATTGCTTCACCGAAGAACAAAAACAAAAGAAAACAATAACAACAAAAAGATTTTAATAGACTAGAAAAAGTTTGCTGAAATTAAGAAGATGAAATTTAAGAGGAATAAATTTAAAGGCCCACGCTTGGAGTCAAATAGTCAACTTCGCAAATTGAGGAAAATTTGGTTAGACAGCAGCCTGTCTGAAAAATATTCTGGGGGTCTCAGTGGGCCACAAGCTCAACACAGCATGGGTCAGCCATTAGATATGTGAATCAAGAAGGGTAAGCAATGAGCTGCATTGCAGAGGGATCCCCTCTGTTAAGGCTTAGGGAGGTAGTGGTCTTGCTATGTGGGCTCCCTCTACCACGTCATGAGAGCACCTGGTGGACGGTGTTCGGTTCTGGGTGCCCCATTTTAGAAAGGAAATTAGTGAGCTGTGGTGTGTCCCGAAGAGGGCAGGTAGGAGGATGGAGGGCCCCCTCTACAATTGAAGGAATTGGGGGATGCTTGGCCTGGAAAAAAGGCTAATATTGTGGGGCAGTGGAAAGGACAGGGAACATAATCTAGCTGTCTTCAGGTCTTTGAAGGGCTGTCTCATGGAAAAGGGATGAGTGAAACTTATTCTGCTTGGCACCAGGAGCAATGATGGGGGTGGTGTGGGTGGAGTGTTGCAAGGCCACCAATTTAGGCTTGATGTGTGGAAAAAACTTCCTAACAATGAGTTGTCAAAGGTAGAATGTATTGTGATTGAGAGCAGAGTCAAAGCTGAGAGTGGAGTCGGAGTTGGGGCCAAAGGTTTCCGTGTTCTTCAGACAGGATGGAATGTTGGATGGGTTTGGGAGAAGAATGGGGTTGCCTCATGTTTCACTGAAAAAATGGAGGCCATTTGCTGTGGGTTCCCTCTTCTCTCTTCCACCTCAACTCACATCACCGAGATGCCTTCTGCCACCATCTCTGCCTTCACCCTTGTGTGATGTGAAGAGGTGTCCCTTCTCCTGTCCCGCCTTACAGGTGCTCTCTCCTTGATAATCTCTTCTCTCTAGATTTTCAGGGACCTATCTCTGTGTCTGTCTTTCTGTCTTTCTGTCTCCGTCTCTATCTTTCTCTGTGTCTTCCTCTCTGTCTCTGTCTGTCTGTCTGTCTGTCTCTCCCCCCCGCCCCTGTTCTCCTCCTGCCTCTCTGCCCTTTTTCTCTCTGTCTCCTTTGCTGGATCTTCTCTGGATCACACCCTCTAACTCCCTCCTAGTTCTATCCTCTTCTCTTCTCTCTCCACCATTTCACTTGGGGATCTTATCAGCTCCCGTGGACTTAATTACCATCTCTATGCTAATGATTCGAAAACCTACCTTTTCTGCCCCAGTCTCTCTGCTGACTTCCAAGCTCGTGTCTCCAACTGCCTCTCAGACATCTCCAGCCGGATGTCCAGGAGACTTCTTAAACTCAATGTGTCTAAAATGGAACTCATTATCTTTCCCCCTACTCTCTCGCCCTCCCACTTTCCCTACTACTGTAGAGGACACCATCCTCCCAGTCCCTGAGGCTCACAACCCAGGGATCCTCCGGGACCCCTCACTCTCTCTCACCACCCCCATGTCCAACCTGTGGCCAAGGCCTATTTCATCTTTTCGGCATCTCTCCAATCCGCCCCCTTCTCTCCCCTGGTGCAGACGCCTCACATCTGGACTATTGTGCTAGCTGCTGGTGCGTCGGCCACCTCGGGACCTGTCCCCCTCCAGTTCATCCTCATTCAGCCACCAAAGCGATTTTTCTAAAGTGCGGTTCTGATCATGCCTCCCTCCCCCTACTCAGCAAACCCTAGTGCCTCCTGTTGCCTCCAAGATCCAATGCAAAATGCTCTGTCTGGCATTCAGAGCTTTTCCTAACCGGCCCCCTCCTACTTTTCCAGCCTTCTTACATCCCCAGCCCCAGCCCTCCACATAGTCTTCCACCCAGTGGAAGCCTCCTGACTGTTCCTCTAACAAGACCCTCCATCTCTTGGCTCTGGTCATTTCCCAGGGCTGTTCCCTGTGCCTGGAATGCTCTTTCCCCACCCAATACCCCCTCTAGGCTTCTTTCAGCTAAATCCCACCTCCTACGGGAAACCTCTCCCTCTCCCCCTTAATTCTGGTGCCTTCCCTCTGGTAACTATTCCCAGCTCCTCCAGCATTGTTCTACATAGTAATAATATCTATGTTCTCCCCCGCCTCCCCATTAGACTTGTGAGCCTCTTGAGAGCAGGGACCAGTTTTTGCTTTGGGGCTACTTTGTATTTCTAGGTCTCAACCCAGTCTCGGTGAGCACTTTATCTGTTGGTTATCGAATGGCTGACTAATTCAGGATTGAGAGTTAGGTCCAGACAGAGGTCCTGAAGCCCGTCTTAATGTTGAGTTGTTTCTGAGGAACCGGGGGTGGGGGGTGGGAGGCCCCACTCTTGTTTTTGCCAGACCTAGAATCCGAGGGGGTATGAGGGTGATGGAGCAGTAGACGCCTTTGACTGAATAGGGATCTAGGTCCTAGTCTTGGCTTTGCCTCTGACTTACTGGGTGATACGGAGGCCCTCTGGACCTCGTCCTTCCTATGTACTATGGGATCAGTAGGGGGATAGGATAGAGGGATTGGACTCCATTATCTTTCCCGGTTCTAATGTTCTGAGGATGCTAAGCAGGGCCTCCCTCATCTGGTTGTTACCCAATGTTTGTCTGCTTTTTTCTTAGGCATAGAAGAAGTAGTGTTGGATACAGAAAGGTTGAAATGTTATGGTATACATGTCTGAAGTCAAACAACTATTTTATAAGGGGCTCCTCAGTTTCCCTGTTTGTTAAATGGGGAAAGACAGCATGGTAGAGCAGAGTGGGGTGCTGGAGAGCCTGGGTTCAAATCTCAACTCTGTGACCTTGACAAATCACTTTCACTTCTTCAAGGCACAGGGTGTACATCTGTAAAATGATGGGGGTCCTCTAGGACCATTAAGGTCCCGTTTGTCTTTAAACCCAGGATCCCATGAATAGATAGTTACTGTTAAGGCCCTCCCAACCCTGACTTTCCCTGTTCTAAGTTCTGACCTTCCCTGTTCTAAGGCCCCTCCCAGCTCTGACCTTCCCTG